CGGTCGCCGCGTGCCAGCACGTGCAGGCCGCGCGAATGGCGTCGGACTTACGTGTGCTCGTGCGGGACGATTGCGTCGTTGCGGATGTCGAGATGGCCACTCCCAATCGAACTGATTGATGGTCCCGATGAGTCGACGCCCGGGGATATGTGTAAGTGCGCAACTCAGATCGCGTTTTACACGTGTTCTCGCGCGGCATTCATTGGGCTGGACATCCGACTGCCTAATCACTTCGTGATGTTCTGAGTTATGCAAGATGCAATGATCACAAAACAGCTTGATCCAAAGACAAGCAAACACACGGACGAAATCATCAATTGCGCAAAATTCCTATCATTCTACCTACGTGTGCCTCGAACGCGATGAACAACGCAAGGACAAAAGATTCCCCGCAAAATGTAAACAAGCAAGCATAGCCTCCATACATCCGCATCCTCAATAATCATACACACGATACCCCAAAGGCAAGGACAAAGATAAAAAAAATGATCGAAACATGGCATCTATACATTCATAGTGCATCGGAGAGGGGAATCGCAAAGACAAGTGTGAGCAAAAATCCAAGTCCGGGTTCCGAAAAACAGAAGGGAAAACAAAAACAGGCGAATCGCCCGGAGCCGCAATTCAAACTTTATGTACACAGGCAGGGAGGGGGAAAAGACAAAGAATCAACAAATCCGCGTCCATCCACTTCAACTCTCCCTCCCTCTCTCTCTCACCTCCGATGCAGACAGTCCGTCGTCGCGCACCAACCCACGAAGCCGTCACCCCGCTTAGTCCTCCCGCACCCGTCAGGTTCACCCGCGCCCACAGTCCGTCGTGGCCCGCGTCAACCCCGCGCGTTAGGCACCAGCTCGTCGGATCGCCCGACTCTTGCTCTACTCACCTCTTACTTCGCTCGTGTGCCGACCCTTCCTGATCGCGCAACCCCGAGCTTCCAACAGCTGGTCAAGAGAGCTAACTAATCGCGCAGCCGAAATTTATAGCGTGCATGCATGCGCGAAGAACACGGAATTACAAGGACTTAGAAGAAGGGAAGGGGGAGGGATTTGCCTACGTCTGCATGGTCTGATCGTGGCGTGGGGGACGTAGCCGCTCTCCACGCACCGATATGATCATGCAGACCGCGACTACCAAAAGCGTAGCAAAAGAAAGAGAAGAAGGGCGGGAAAGACGAAGTGCAAGAAGGAAGATACAGTTACAATGGCGCCCGCCCAAAATTACAGTTACGCGCACGATTAAAGGCGTCACTAATCAGAGTACCGTTGCAGCCGCATGAAGAAGCGCGTAGACAAAACGTGCCGCGCGGCAGGAAAATCCTAATTACTAAATTCCTAAATTCCTATCTAATGCGAAGAAGCAAAAAGCACAAATTCCAGAAGGAAAGTCCGAAATTCCGGGAGCCATCGGGGCTCGACAAAATTCGAAAAAGATTCAAAAGAAAATTAAAAAAGAATGACGCAAATTCCCGCGCGCATGCGCGGTGGCGCGCCAGCCATTCAGCCGACCAATCAATCAACCGGCCATCCCAGGACACACCCAGCTCCGAGCCCAGCCATTCGAAAAGAAGCGATGAAAAGAAAAGACGAAAAAGCAAGGACACTGATGCAATTTCCCACCGATCCCGATCTCCCGTAATTGGCCCAACCTTCCCAACTTAGGACACCTCATTGCAACCGCGCAGAAAGTCGCGCGTTACAGAAAGTGGTTCGTCACACCACGTCATTTCAGATTCGGATTTCAGAGTAGCGTGGAAGACCCTATACCCTAAAGCACATACATATCAGACAAAAAAAAAAAACACAAGAAAAAAGTAAAAAAATTCAGTAAAATATGGCAGTTTCGGTGAAGAATTCGCCGAAAATGACACTACCTATTAACCACGAGTGGAATTTCAATTCTTTTCAGGACCATGGCCACCTACCGGTCCTTCACATAATGTCGGGGTTCCCAGGAAAATGCCATGGGTAGCTAGTAGCTACCGGTCTTGCGTTTGCTTGAACTGCATCCCCCCCCTGAATGCCCGTGCCTTTCATTTTATCAGCTGTTCTATGACCAGTGGGGCTGAATGAACGACCAGTATAACCAAAGAAGACAAAATTTCCCTGGGGGGAAAAAATGGAACCCTGACGGGCTGCGAACAAAGGCCCCTTGTTCGCCACCTGTTAGTTGCGAGTCTGGCTAACCTTAGAGGTAGGGCTTTAGCCAGTAGTTTATAGGCTATGCTTACGAGATCGGTCTCCAATTGCGTACATCTCTTTTTTTTTGGGAAAAGTGTTGAAATACCCCTAAAAGTTTGGGTATTTCGTCAGATACCCCTAAAATAGGGGTACGCTGAAATGCCCCAAACTTCTGGATCTGGCCCCGCTCCACTCATTGCCAACTTCGCCATACGCCCTGGCCCTGGGCTGCAGGGGCCTCTGCATTTCTTTTGCGATCTACAGGGTCCAATGGCCTGAAATACCGGGGCATATACACAAGTTGCCCCGGCCCGGTAGGGGTATATGCAAGAGATGACAGGTCCAATTGACAAAGTTTCACTAGTGTCATAGGGGCATTTTGCCACACTTATGCCTTTTAGGGGTATCCTACAAAATACCTGAACTTTCGGGGGTGTTTCAACAGTTGTCCTTTTTTTTTTCACCCTTTTTTCTCCTCCCAAACTCACCTCTTACAGGGGACCCCTGCAGGCATAGCGACCCCTGACAAACAAGCGGATACTTACTGCTCCCCGCCCCCTTGGTGTCCCTTCACGTACAGTCGGAACACATGCGACCATCTTAGTGCCCCTTTACGTACCGGGGGCCACCTGCGACCAAAGTGGCCATATCCCACGGGCAAAGAGGATTGGAAGAAGTGTCTGAATCTGGACGTGTTCCACGCCGAGATGCAGAAAAGTAGATCAATCACAAATTTTCGCACCTGTCAACAAACACGTCCACATTCAGACACTTACTGCAATCCTCTTTGCCAGTGGGATCTCGCCCCAGGGAGTCCGATGAAAGTGATGAATTCACCGAGAACCCAGCGCGTTTGGCTGAATGGTACACAGATATAACCGTCAGTTAACAGACAACACGGTCAAAACCCTGCGATAAGATGAATACAGTTCAATACACCATATTCAAAAAAAAAAAAAAAAAAAAAAAAAAAGAATACACCCTTTAGACCCCCACTGGCGGCCCCAACCCTATATACCCTAAACATTAGGGGCAAGGGGCAACATGAAATCTCCCCTTCACAGTGAGAGGAAACTATGTTTGCAGGGGTCCCCTCTAGATAGCCTTAGGGGGAGGTAGTGAAAGGCAGCATCAGCCGGTTTAGCTTCAGGGTTGTACAACTGAAGCTAAACCGGATGATGCTGCCGGGATAACTCCGGGTTGAATTGTGAGGTCCCCGGCCTCTCCTCAATTGTTTTGGAATAAAATTGAGTGAATTTTGAAAAAAAAAAAAAAAGAGAAGTTGAGAGAAGAACATAGGAAAA